AGCAAGATGTGCTGTTTGTGATTGGAGACTGGAATGCTGAAGTTGGGAACATTAAAGAGGAAAATGTAATTGGACTGTATGGCTTGGGAAATCAAAATGAAGCAGGAGACCCACTTATCAATTTCTGCCACTCCATTAACTTTGTTCATACCCAGCACTGTTTCAAACAACCAAAACAATGCCTCAAGACATGGACATTACCAGATGGGTAGACAGAAATCAAATTGATTATATTATTGCTAAAAGGAAGTGGAGGAGCTCAGGTATAGCATCAAACACGGCCAGGTGCTGGCTTTGGAACAGAACAGGAACTGCTCATGTGCACATTTCAAATTAAGCTACAGAAGAAGAAGATATGATATTGAGCATATACCCACCATTTTCATGGAGAACATCAGGCATTACTTTGAAGTCATAAACCTCATTGATAGAAAACCAAAGGAAATGTGAAATGAACTTAAAGAAAAGGATGAATGTGAAAAGAGAGTACCAAAGATGAAGAAACAAAAGAAAGCAAACTGGATGTCACAACAAACCATGGAAATTCCCAAGAAAAGAAGAGAAGCCAAAGCCAAGAAAGACAAAGTTTTCAGGAAGGAAGTTAACAAAAAGTTTCAGAAAGCTGTTAGGAGAGACCCTTCAATCGGAAAATCATAGAAATATGATTTATATATAATCAAGAATTGGTTGACCACACTAGAACAAAAAAGAATTGAAAAAGTGCCAGTGGCATGAAACATTCCATAGACAAGACTGGTGACCCACAACAGAATCATTATTTCAGTGCAGGCTTTCCAATTCATCATCATTTGCATCTAATTCATGCAAATAGCAATATACTGATCGTATGCCATGACTGTGAGGAGGGATAAATTAGAACCCAGAAAGGAGACAGAGAGAAAGACTTGAGCAACATAACCAAAGTAAGAAATGTGTCTGGCATCTATGAGGGAATTCACCATGGATTTGGGAACAATGACAGAAACAGATGCTAGGTCCTGCAGACCCAAATTCATCAGAAAGAAGTACATGGGTCGATGCAGTTGCTGGTGAAAAGCTACTGCACAGATGATGATAAGATTTGCCGTAGTAATTGCCAGGTATAAGACAAAGAACAAGAAGAAATGTAGCAGCTGCAGTTACTGAGTTTCTGAGATTTCCAGGAGCAGAAAGTAACGCACTCCAGTCTGGTTGTCCATGTTTCATTTATGAGAAAGCTGCATGGCATAAATGCAAGGAGGAAGATGAGGGGGGTGCAATTAGATCAAATTTGGGAAACAGCATTTTGTTATGTGGTGAGAACAGAAAACAAAAAGAAAAGTAAAGCATGGACAGAATGAACAGAGGAACAAACTATGGAAAAGAAAAATGTAGGACGGGCATATATAGTATTAGAGCAGAATCGGTCAATTTCTATCCATCTGTACTAAGGAACTAGCCACAAACCTCACATTTTCCCTTCACTCCTCCTTCCAGTTCTGTTACTTCATGTGCTGATGAAAAGGATTGCCTAGGATTACAAAAACCCTGTTCAAGTCCATTTGCAACCATGGAAGATCACAGGAGTCAGTTACAATCTCTCACCATTCATAGACGATTGTGGTAGTATCGGAAAATGGGAGGATGTCCTATAGATGGTGCTTTGTGCTTCCAGAGGGAAGCAAATATACTGTAAATGTAGCAAATAAATATAAACATAAATTGTTATGAACTTTACTTGGAAATATTGAGGGCAGAAACTGCCCCATTGTACAGAGCATGCATGTGTGTTTGTGTGTGTGTGCGTGTTTATGTGACAGACAGCTGGAAATATTTTTTTCTCAGTTGCTTTTTGCCTACAAAAAATAGCATAATAAGCCTTTAAACTAATACATAAATACTAGATTCATAAACATGTATTTAATGTTATACAGTTAAAAGAAGAAAAGATTGAAATTTACTTTCAATATGACTCCTATTTTGATTTTCACTAGGTGGTATTAGACATGATTATCCCAGTATAAAACATTATTTTTTAATAAAAATTAATCAGACATAAGCAGAATAAATTAATAAATCCCCTTTTCCAACTATCAGAAGGAATGTGATAGCTCAATTTGAAAAAGCAGTGTCCCATCAAATACAATCCTATATTCCCTTCACAACAGTTTGGATAGAAAATGAGACACAACCTATTACAGCTATGAATTTTTACCTCTCAGCATTTCTTTGAACAATGTTGAATGCCGTGTACCCATATTTTCAACAATAATACTTAAACATTTAAAAGCAAACAAAACATTTAGAAATATTACCATCTATTTCTTTTATTGATATCCAGAGAGATTATGAAATGACTTTGCTGATGCTAATTTACCTATTATTGACCAGTCCACCCACTCAATTAATTTCATTTCAATAATCTTTTACATTCATGAAGGTTTGGTCTAAATTTCTGCAAATCATTATAATTTTTATTGTTTATAATCATCATGTGGAAAGGATACCAACATGTTATATATATAATTGATTCATTGTTTACTATGTATATAGAAATCTCTCCAAATTGATGTTCATTATTCAGATTCATAATACCTTTCAATCTACTGTCTGAGGTCCCAATTTCTGAAAAATTTTCTTAAAAAATCCTTTGTCGTCCATCCCAAAATAAAACTTTTCCTTCATTCCTTCTCTCAGTTCTGTTACTTCATGTACTGATCAAAAGAATTGCCTAGGATTAGAAAAACCCTGTTCAAGTCCACTTTCAAACATGGAAATTAAATCACCTATTAGTGATCAGTTCACCCACTCAGTTAATTTCATTTCAATATTCTTTTACATGCATTGCTCTAAATTCCTGCAAATCGTAACTCCCCAAACAGCCTGTCTTCTTACTCATTAATATCAGGACACTACCTTATGTAATCATTTGATTAAATTCTCTTCCCAGCAGAAAAGTTATCAGGGCAAGCCTGAGATATAACAAGTCAGACATATTTAAATAAACATCAATTTGCCTCAGGAAAGAGGGAAAAGATTTTTCAGTTAAACATTCAATTTATAGGTGACTTACTAATTTTTCTCCATAGATTTTGTCTTCCTTGATATGCTTTTAAGACTGTTAAATAACTCTCCACTAAGTAAATGATGTCCCACTAATTTTCGTGTAATGAAACATCTATCTGCAGTTCAAAGGTTTCTATTTTGAATATTTATTAATATCTGTTTTGTTTCCCCCAAGAGTCTTGTAAAACAAAATCAAACTGACGTCTGTGTGCTTATTAACATAATTAGCAATTAACAACTCTATAACTTTGCAACAAAGATTACAAAGTAAACATAACACTTTTAAGAAACATATAGAGTAAGATAAAATAATAAAAATATCCCTAAAGGCAGATTGGTAGAATGGCCAACTTTTTCTTTGTATCAGGCAATTCAGCAGCTTTGGCTGGGTTGAAGGGAAAAAAAGCCATGGCTGGAAAGTGAAGCAAAACCTGAACATCCCATTGGGAGGGCTGGGTGTGTTCTGAGAAGTGCAAGATGCGTAGACTCTGCTCAGCAGGTAGAAACCAAGGCAGTAGTGTCCATAGGTGGGAGCAAGGGTGGTCACACTGACAAAGTTAGAACAGTAGCTTTGTGATACAAGCACCACTCATATTATATATGTTATATATATGCACTAAAATCTCCCATTTATATAGGAAAGGGGTGGAAGGCAGCCTTTCATGGCATGGCAAATCTCCTTTCATGGGGTGGATGTCATTGGAAAATGGTCTTTTGTTTCCTAGAACTCTTGATAACCTCAAGAGGGTTTCAGCTCCCCCAGTTCTTATTGGCTCTTGACTACCTCATTTCTTCCTTGTTGGTATTTTGGAGTGAATTTTTATCTTATTTTAAAAACCATGCTTAAACACAACATGTCTTAATGTGATGTCTGAAACCAGTGGAGAAACTATGCCTCAACAATGACAAAACATTCCTTAAATCCAGGAAAAAAGAAGAGCATAAAAAATCAAACTGGCTCCAAGCTCACTCTACTGTGTATGAGAAGGAAGGAAAGGAAAACACAACCAGGCTTTCAAGATTTTAAAAGTATAATTCCAGTTAAACTTGAGGAGTTGGTTTCCTGACTGGCCTACCTCAAAAGGATGACATCTCCTCAAATTCAGAAAAAAATTCTATGTTACAGCAAGGACTATAGTAACAGTACAATGTCTCATTCTCAACTGTGCAATGATATTTTCCTCAGTAAATTTCACACACACACACACACACACAAATGGTGGATCATAAAATAAACCATGGTTTAAAAAACAGGGCAACATGTGATATATGAAACCATCGACAGTAATTAAGAAAAAATATGTGTGTGTGTGTGTGTGTATATATATATATTTTTTACAGTAATTTTACAGTAATTTCCCAGATGAAATCCTTTCTTCAAAAATTCTGGAAACTGTGGAAGCCCAGGGCAATGTGTTCATGTGAAAATAGTGTGCACAGACTGAACTTAATGTTGGCTTTGTCCTGAATGGAGGCTGCCTTTCCTTCTGCAGAAGCAAACAAATCCCATAGAAATCTCCCAGTGGAACTGCATTTCCAGAGACTTTTTTAAGGTGTATCAGAGTCAATGAAACACTATCAATGAAACATTGACACTATTAAGGAAGCATTGATTTCATTGGCACACAATGAAACTTGGACACTATCAGAGTCAATGAAACTGGTAGTTTCATTGACTCTGATAGTGATTTTGCAAATCTCAAAAGCAGGTGTCATTACCTTGCAGCACTCCAGATGCTGCTAAACCTTCCAGCATCTCTGAACAATTAGCATCTCTAAGAAGCATGGCCTACAATGTTGTAGCTACTAAAGGTTTGGATTGAGAAGTTAAACCTCCATCTTAGCTATGCTGCCCTTTGCAGCCATTTACTTTTCATCACATGAATGGATAAAACAGATAGGAACAAAGTCCACTTCTGGGAGAAGAGAAGAGAAAGCATCATTGAAACAAACTTTCAAAAACTCCATATTTTAGATAGGGCATACTTGATATTCTTATTTCTCATGCTATAGATGATTGGATTGAACAGGGGTGGAAGAACGGAATATAGGATAGATAATGCTAAATCTAAATAAGATGGGGTGTTAGAGGGAGGTCTCAGATATGCAAAGAATCCAGTTAACAGAAGTAGAGAAACTACTGTAAGGTGGGGAACACAAGTGGAGAAGGCCTTTTGCCTTCCCTGGACAGAAGGGATTCTCCACACTGTTTTGAGGATCATGACATAAGATATTATGATAAAAGTAAAACACCCTAATCCTGCAATGGTACCAGTTACAAGAACTCTAATTTCAATTAGATTGAATCCAGAGCAGGATAGCTTTAGCAACTGTGGAATTTCCACCCTAATCCTGCAATGGTACCAGTTACAAGAACTCTAATTTCAATTAGATTGAATCCAGAGCAGGATAGCTTTAGCAACTGTGGAATTTCGCAGAAAAACTGGTTAACATTGTTAGAACAGAAAGGGATGGAAAAGGTGCTGCTGGTATGCAACATTCCATAGAGGAGACTGACTATCCAAACCAGAATCACAATTTCAGTGCAGGATTTCCAATTAATTAATGCTTCATACTGCAGTGGGTTGCAAATGGCAACATACCGATCATATGCCATAACTGTGAGGAGGAAGAAATCAGAAGCTGTAAAGGAGATAAAAAAAAAGACTTGTGCAACACAACCAAAGTAAGAAATATGTCTCGTACCCATGAGAAAATTTGCCATGGCCTTGGGGACAATGACCGAAACAGAGCCCAGGTCCTGCAAAGCCAAATTCATGAGAAAGAAATACATGGGGCTGTGCAATCGATCATCCAAAGCTACTGCAGAGATGATGAGAAGATTTGCTGTTGCAATTGCGAAATAAAATGCAAAGAACAAGAAGAAGTGCAGAACCTGCAGCTGTCGAGTTTTTGAGAATCCAAGGAGCAGAAAATAAGGCACTGTGGTGTGGTTATCCATGTTTCATTTATGACAAGGATGCCTGACACACCTGTAAGAAGCAGAAGTACAAGATAATGTTAGAAACAATTTGGGAAACTCCAACTTGATATTTAGTGAAACCAGAAAGAGAGAGGGAGAGGGAGAGGGAGAGAGAAGAAAACAGGATACCACTTGCAGTTTGGTATTTGTATATATATGGAATAAAGAACCAAATACCAAGAATTTTTTTTTCAGCCCTCACAATAACATTCTTCGCTATAGTTGCAAAAATATTTGCCTTGTATTTGGAAGACCCTCTTCAGCTGTCTTGAGGCATGGAAGTTCACTAGGAGTGTTTAGATCAATAGCTGTCTCTAACACACTTACAGGCTTCTATACATGCATACAGACATGATTTTATTAAAGAGACTTTTAACAAATTAAAAAGAATAAAATTTTAGAGAAAAAATAAAGAAAAACAGTGAATAGGTAAGAAAGGAATAGAAAAGAAAAAATCAGAAATAGAAAAGAAAAAGGAAAGGAAAGGAAAGAAAAGAAAAGAAAAGAAAAGAAAAGAAAAGAAAAGAAAAGA